GGGGCCTGCGCTCCGAAGAACGCGGGACGGCGGGGCCCGGCCGGGGGGGAATCGCCGGAGCCAGAAGTACCAGCCCGGGGGCGGCGGCCGCGTCACAGGCCCGTCTGTGTCCGGGGCTGGTCCTTAAAGGGGAGGGCTGGGGGTGGGACTTCGAGGGAGGCGTGGACATGGGGGAGGGGTCAGCCTTAAAGGGGAGGATGCCTAATGACTAGCGAGCAAAGGTACCCGGAGGGGACCATGGGAGGGAGGGTTGAGAGTCTGGGAAACAGGACGAAGAAACCCTAGTTCTTAACCAAGGTCATGCAAAGGTAAGTGGGAGGCAAAATAAAGTAGCTGAGTAATTCAAATAAAACCTACAGTTCTCCAGCTGTCTGGACCTAGGAGATGCATTTAGAAAGAATCCACCTAGATGCGACCTCTGGTGTGGGCTGGACTTACAGAGGCCATTCATCCTAGGAACAGGTATCGGGCATTAGTAAGGATTTCCTTAACTTGAACATTTTCCTGAGTTTTACATTTCTTTTCTCGTGAACTTACTGTTTTTCGGTAAAAATTTATTATCATGTAATCATGAATTTAGTAATTATGCATTTGAACATTTTTATGTCAATAAACTAAAAAATGACCCAAGGTGGAGAGAGGATGGGGTGCAGTGGCCCCTTGTAATCCCAGCAATGTGCAGATCACAAGTCAGAGGGGCCTACCTGAGCAACATAGACTGTATCTCAAAACACCAAAATAAATTAAAAGATGAGATTCTTGAGTTTCTAGGGCTTTCCCCACTGACTGATCCTGAAAGAACAAACCTTACACCTTCCTGGAAGATAAACCTATACCTTTGAGATGGACTCTGAATTCAGTGAGATAATGTAGCAAAGGAGAAGCTCTGGAGAATGGTTGGGGAGGGGACTGTAAATGAGATCAGTCCTTGAATGTACCACTGTAAAACATAGTTCTAAGCTGGGGTGGTGGCGCATGCCTTTAATTCCAGCACTTGGGAGGCAAAAGCAGGCGGATCTCTGTGAGTTCAAGGCCAGTTTGGTCTACATAGTGAGTTGCAGGACAGCTGGAGTTACAGGGAGACCCTGTCTCAAAAAGACCAAAAAACACGAAAGAAAGATACAGTTCTAGCACAAGTCTCTGAGGAAGAAGGGCCTAACTGGCCCTATAGCATAGCCAGGATACAGAAGGGTTTAACTGTCAGAGCAGTTGAAAATTGAGACAGAGGAACAAAATAGGTGAGAACACAGCTCTGGTTTAATTACTGATACCGAAAAATTAGAGAATGAAGCCCAACCCATGGCCACTCATGGTCCTTCATATGTCCCAACAAAACTCTGGTGAGAGCTGTCTCTTGACAGTCAGGCATGGTGGCACACACCTTTAACCCCGGAAAAAACAAAAGTAAAACAACTCTAGACAGAAGACAGCATCCTGAGAAAAGGGCCTTGGAGATTTAGCTCAGGAGTGAAAAGCACATTTGCTGGTGTCTCCTCCTTTGTTCACCTTTCCAGAAGATGCTTGTCCCACAGGAAGGCAGGAATGAAAAGATGAAGGATTTTAATCACCCTCCTAGGGTCCAGCAGGATTCACCATGGAACAAGGAGACAACTGGTCTCTTCAAGCAACACTTTGTTTAGTACTGTGCTCAAGGCTCTATGTTCAGCCCTGTGGTGGTGGGTGGTGAGTGGTGATAACCCAGTGAGGAAGAAACAATGGATGGGTCAATAGTGTGGCAGACATGAGCCTGGGAATGGAAAGCAGATGAACTCACTTCCCATCTGTAGCTGTGTGACTTCCTGCTAAAGGATGGAGCCAGTCAGGATTTCCCTGACTTTTCAAAGCCAAAGGCATCACCTAAGACCACAGAGATACAGGGACTGAAAAAAAGAAAACAGGGATGAGGAAGAGAAAAGCCTCGATGGCTCGGGTGGAAGGGGAGTCCCAGTCTGGACCGCTTCAGTTCTTCATTGCACATGTACACACACACACACATACACACACACACACACACACGGATGGTCTCCAGGACTTGCTATTGTTGGCATTCGGTGGTCACCTGCTTCTTTCCAAGAGTCTGGAAAGAGAATGAGCTCTCAGAGGCAGCAAGGCACAATGGGAGGAAAAACAAATTTAGAAATGAATGGGCAGAATCCAGTTGTCCAAGTACCTTGAGCAAGCCACTTTTAGCATCTCCTGTATATCTGGGAAAAAAGAAAAATCCTAACATCTCCTTTTAGGAGTGAGTAAGAATGAAAGGAGATGGTATCTATGAGAACTCTTCATAAAGCATACACTATAAATTCTCATACACTATTAAACATCACCAATACTCAAACATTGCTAGCTTCCTACTGCCTATGGACTTGTCCCTGATATCAAACTGCCTTCCTTGGTAAGGGGAATTCTGGGGCGTTGTCAAAACCTGAGATCTTAGGAATAATGGATCATAGAAACCCAGCAGGCCATTTCTCCTGGAGTTACAAAGGCCAGATACAGGACACCCAAGACATATATGCCATACACACAACACCCAGAAAATACAGTCATGTGAACACAGCCCAGAAGGACAAGGCTGTTGTGGAAAAGTATAAATGAGTAACCAATGAATAGCTGGGGAATGGACTGAACCACAGGAAAAGGTGCTGCACAAGAGATCCAGAGCCTTAAGCTCTCTTCTAACACTGCCTAGCCACGTGCCCTCAAAAGTCCCTTGCCTAGGGCTGGAGAGATGATGGTTCATCGGTTAGGAACACTGGCTGTTCTTGCAGAACACCCGAGTTCAAATCCCAGCACCTACAACTGGTGCAGTTGGCCACTAACAACTATCTGTAACTCCAGTTCGAGGAGATCCAATAGCCTTTTCTGTCTTCCACGGGCATTGCACGACACAGGTGCACTTACCTACATGCAGGCAATACACACATACACATAAAATAATAATAATAGTAATAATAATAATAATAAGCTGTTTTAAAAAAAGTCCCTTGCCTCTCAGTTCCTTCTTTCTTGTCTGTAAAATAGTGATAATAATATCTGCTCTTCCTACCTTGTAGAGCTATTACAAGGACAAAATGAAGTCCAAAGTCCTGCTTCTGTAACAACAAGCTCTCAGCCATCTCTAGTAAATTACATAAGCATTAAGGATGTAGGTCGGGTGTGGTGGCGCACACCTTTGTTCTCAGCACTCCAGAGGCAGAGGCAAGCAGATCTCTGAGTTCCAGGCCAGTTGGGGCCTACAGGAAGACCCTGTCAAAAAAAAAAAAAAAAGAAATATGTGTAAAAGCACTTCAAAAGTTGGAAGTCAAGCTGGTAGGTATAGCTTGGTAGTAAAATACATGCTTAGTGTGTGCAACGCCTGAGTTTGAGCCCCAACACAGCATTACAGAAAATGTTGAAAGTCTATGCAAACAGAAAGTACTATTTTTATTTACAAAGACGTATGATTTTCATTAACATGCAAACACATAAGCCATGTAATGTAGTATGCATGAAGAACCACAGATCTATAGGATTAGATCAGTCATAGTCCTGGATTCATGGCACACCCTTGTCATTGGCTCATACATCTATGTGTTTCTGCTTTTATTTAGTTATACTCATGTAATAATGCAATAAGCACCTGTGCACACACCACCCAAATAAAAACTAGGACTTTGACAATAGCATACATCTAAAGAGATGATTCCTCAGACTACCATGCAACCCATCCCTGTGTCTGTTACCCAAGACAAACATGATCCTGAATGCTGTGTTTACCTTTTCCCTCGTTTTCCCTTTCATACAATTCTAGTTCATGAAGACATGTTTAAAGGTATCTTTGAAAGCTAGATAGAGTGGTTCATGCCTATAATCTCAGGACTTTGGAGAATGGAGCAGAAAGATTGTTGCAAGGTTGAGTCACTCTAGGCTACATAGTTCCAAAGCAGCCTGGGCTATATAACAAGACTCTGTCTAAAATAAACCAAAATTAAATAAAGATATAAAAGATAAGAGAAGTATGTAGCTGGGTGTAGTGTGCTTTAATCCCAGTACACAGGAGGCAGAAGCAGATGAATCTCTGTGAGTTCAAGGCCAGCCTGGTCTACATATTGCGTTCCCGGCCAGTCAGAGTCTACATAGTGAGACCCTGTCTCAAAAAACAAAAAAACAGTGGGGCTGGAGAGATGGCTCAGCGGTTAAGAACACTGGTTGTTCTTGCAGAGGACCCAGGCTCAAATCCCAGAACCCACATGGCAGCTAACAACTGTCCATAACTCCAGTCCCAGAGGATCCAATAGCCTCTTCTGACCTCCACAGGCATTGCATGACACGGGTGTACTTACCTACATGCAGGCAATACACGCATACACATAAAATAAAAATAATAAATTTAAATTTTTTAATGAGGGGGAGGGGAGATAGCCAGGAGTTACTTTATCAGCAAGATGAGGTTAAAATAAGGACACTTGGTCATAGTAATGGTGATGACAAAAATGATAGGTGAGTGCTGATTTTGTGCCCAGTGACTGTTCAAGTCTCTACTTGGATTGTCTTGTTTAAATCTCATAAATATCTGTATCTGAGATTTCTAGTTGTCTTGGGCAATCAATGCCTATTTTATTTTCTTCCTCTTTGTTAGGAACAAAATTCCAATATTTATCTAAGTACCTATCTAAATAAAAAACTATATCTCCTAATTTCTCAGCTTCCATTACAACTGGTTGCATTTATGAGATTTAAGTTCTACTTGGGACTTGTAAATGAAAGGGATTTGAAGGAAAAAGCTAGGTCATTTCTTCCCCTCTCTTCTTTTCTCTTTCCTGATAACTAAAATGAAAATACTATGGCTAGAGGTTGGGTAGCCCTCTTAGATCATGGAAAATGGAGG